CATTCTCGACATGTCTGCTAGTCTGACTTTTATAAACTCAAGCTTGGCTACTTCTAAACATGGCATGTTTTTCACACCAGATTACATCTTTTCTGTTGGGGAAAGAATCAAAAGCTTTACATCATTTTTAAGAGCGCAGTGAGAGGAAAATGTGATCACTGATTGCTTTGTTTACATCTGTTAGAGGAGTTACGACAAGCTAATTGGCAATTATTGCCTCCAGCCCTTGTGGGAAACACAAATGAGGAGCTCGTTTTCTAAAGCGTTTCATTGTAGCGCTGGGGGAAACGATCACAACTATCAAATCAAATCAAATCAAATCAAATCAAATCACTTTTTATTGTCACATCACATGTGCAGGCACACTGGCACAGCACATGCGAGTGAAATTCTTGTGTGCGAGCCCCACAAGCAACAGAGATGTGCAAACACAACAACACAAACGAGCAAAATACAAGAATGGCCAACCTGAAACTAATAAATATATGTACAATATATAATAGTGTATGCATTTCTGGATGTGTATACTAAATATTTTCCTACGTGTGTGTGTGTGTGTGTGTGTGTGTATACACATTTTTACAAATTAAATAGTAAAAAAATAAAATAAAATAATAATAATAATAATAATAATAATAAAATATATAAAATATACAGAGTTGAATATGTGCAAAACAAGTGGCATTTATATACAGTGTGGAGTGCATAATGTTGAAGTTCCAGTAGTGAAGCTGAGGTGTCTATGACGTGTTCAGCAGTCTGATGGCCTGGTGGAAGAAGCTGTCTCTCAGTCTGCTGGTACGGGACCGGATGCTGCAGAACCTCCTTCCTGATGGAAGCAGTCTGAACAGTTTATGGCTGGGGTGACTGGAGTCCTTGATGATCCTCCCCGCTTTCCTCAGGCACCGCTTCCTGTAGATGTCTTGGAGGGAGGGAAGCTCACCTCCAATTATCCGTTCAGAGCACCGCACTACTCGCTGGAGAGCTTTGCGGTTGTAGGCGGTGCTGTTGCCGTACCAGGTGGTGATGCATCCAGTGAGGATGCTCTCAATGGCACAGTGATAGAAGGTCCTGAGGATGCGGGGGCTCATGCCGAATCTTTTCAGTCTCCTGAGAAAGAAGAGGCGCTGCTGCGCCTTCTTCACTGTTTTGTTTGTGTGTACTGACCACGTAAGATCCTCAGCCAGGTGTACGCCAAGGAACCGGAAGCTGCTCACTCTCTCCACAGCAGCGCCGTTGATGGTGATGGGGGTGTGTACTTCTCTGCACCTCCGGAAGTCCACTATCAACTCCTTTGTCTTTGCGACGTTGAGGGTGAGATGGTTGTCTTGACACCAGTGGGTCAGGGCGCTGACCTCCTCCCTGTAAGCCGTCTCATCACTGTTGGTGATAAGACCCACCACTGTAGTGTCGTCCGCAAACTTCACAATGATGTTGGAGTTGTTAGTGGCTGTGCAGTCGTAGGTGTAGAGTGAGTACAGGAGAGGGCTCAGTACACACCCCTGTGGAGCACCAGTGTTCAGTGTGATGGGGGATGAGGTGATGCTGCCCAGTCTGACCACCTGGCGTCTGTCAGACAGGAAGCTAAGGATCCAGCTGCAGAGGGAGCTGCTCAGTCCTAGATCCTGCAGTTTCCTGTCCAGCTTCGAGGGAACGATGGTATTGAATGCTGAGCTGTAATCTACAAACAGCATTCTCACATACGTGTCTCTCTTCTCCAGGTGTGACAGGGCAGTGTGTAGTGTCAGGGCTATGGCATCATCAGTGGACCTGTTGTGGCGGTATGCAAACTGTAGAGGGTCCAGTGAGTCGGGTAGTGCAGAGCAGATGAAGTCCCTGACCAGCTTCTCGAAGCATTTGCTTACGATGGGGGTCAGGGCTACAGGTCGCCAGTCGTTCAATGAGGAGATGGTGGAGGATTTGGGTACAGGGACGATGGTGGCCATTTTGAAGCAGGCTGGGACTACAGACAGAGAGAGGGAAAGGTTGAAGATGTGCCTGACCTGAGGACGCGGCCGGGAATCCCGTCCGGACCAGTAGCTTTGCGTGCGTTCACAACTAGAAAGTTATTGTTCAGCATCTCAGGTCAGAGGTCAATCAGCTTGAGATAGGTGTTGTCTGAGTTGAACTGATGTGATTTTTAAGCCGCCAAGAGATTGTAACAGATTTTCAAGGATACAATGTTAAGTGATTTAGGTGACTTTGACCGTGTCATGGTTGTTGGTCTGAGTATTTCAGAAACTACTGATCTGCTGGAATTTTCCCATACAGCTATCTCCAGAGTTTACAGGGAATGATCTGAAAGAGAGAACCTACCCAGTGAACAGCAGTTCTGTGGGAGAAATTGCCTTGGATATGTTGGAGGAGAATGGCTAGACTGCTTAAATAACAGGTAACTTAAATAACACTTGTTAAAACCAGCGCAGAAGAGCATCTCAATAACAGCAGAAGAGCAAGCTGGGTGCCACTCCTGTCAGCTAAAAACAGGAAATTGAGGCTATAATTCACACAGGCTGACCAAAACTGGATAATAGAAGATTGAAAAGCGTTGCCTCGCCTAATGAGTCTTGATTTCTGGTGTAATATTTGTGTGGTAGGTCAGAATTTGGTGTAAATCAGTGGTCCCCAACCCCTGGGGCATGGAGCAGTACCGGTCCGTGAGTCGTTTGGTACCGGCCTACGAGAGTTGGGGCTCGGTTGTGAAATGTATGGTTTTCAGGGTTTTTATCGTTAACTCAGTTTCCCTGGGTCTTTTCCCGTGTTGTAGTTGTGTGTCTTGTTTTGCAAGAAATATTTACGCATTACCATAGCGACCAGAGCGCATTAAGGGACAGAGAGGAGGATGTTACTCTCATTGTTGTTGGCACATTTCAGGAGGACGCTGCTAATAAAGTTACACAATTACACAGTGAATTCGTGTTTATTATTATATTTACAAAACACCACAGGTTTTTTCTTGGTCGTATCATTTTATTTTGTTGTATTTATCTGCAACACCTTAAAGGCCAGTCCGTGAAAAATATTGTCTGACATTAAACCGGTCTGTGGCGCAAAAAAGGTTGGGGACCGCTGATGTAAACAACATGAAAGCATAGATCCATCCTGCCTTGCATCAACAGTTCAGACCCTTTTTCCCTTTTAACAGGAGGAAACCTCCAGTAGAGCCAGGCTCAGAAGGGGCATGTCAATACCTTTGTGACTACAGTGTACCCATCTTCTGATGGCTGCTTCCTGTACTCCACAGTCACCAGATCTCAATCCAATACAGCACATCTGGGAGTGGAAAAGGAGATTCATATGATTGATGTGCAGCTGACAAATATGCAGCAACTTTGTAATGTCATCACATAATTAGAGACAAAATCTCTAAAGTGTTTTCCAGCACCTCATTGAATCTATAATGAAGAATTAAAACAGTTCTGACGGAAAATTCACGCCAGTATTGACAAGGTGTACAAAATCATGAAATCTTCTAAAAGTACCAACTGATTGTTAGGTGAAAAGGAAAAACCCACCTCAAACATCTTCACATGTTGGATTTGATTCAAGAATAAAGTTGCGTCTTGCAGTGAAACAGAGGTGTACAACTTAACACCTTTAAAACATGACTTAGTGTTGTCCAGCCAGCACCCTTCCTGTGACACACGGGCCACTGCAAGGTGACTTTGACTAGTGTAGTGCCTATAAGAGATGTTTAAAAAACTCCTTCTGCTCAATGAATCTATCATTTGAAAGACTTCTGAACATGCTGGCAGAATGTCTGTTACAGAAAATCAGTCAACGGATTTGATTTAGTTAACAAAGCCAGAGAATCAGTAATTAAAACCCTGATTGCTTTTTCAGTTCTGCTCACTGTCCTCACTTTCAGAGGGGATTTGTCTGCTCCTTTCTCCCAGACAAAAATCTTGTGTCCATTTTATTCTATCAAAATTCGTTAAAACCAATAAAACTTTAAAAGAGTTTATAGTTTTTACATGCACGCGATAACATTCAAAAACAGTGGTAGCAAGCATGTTTGGAAAAATTCCCAACACTGCACAACATTGGCCTGAGGCAGCATAAAGAAAAGCAGAAGTTTTGAACTCACACACACACACACACACACACACACACACACACACACACACACACACACACACACACACACACACACACACACACACACACACACACTTTTTAAAAATGGTTTATGGCATCTTAAAGGTACAGTCAGTAATTCTGTACTCAGATATACACACAGATTAATGTTTAATGATGTCTCCCAACAACTGAGTTCTCATAATACTTATAATCAATGTATGAATAATACACAGGAGCAGGTTTGCACTTTGTGGACGCAGCCACGTTGCTCCACCATATTTGAATACAGTGGCTGTGAAGGACGCTGCTGTAGCCAAACTAAGAGACCTGTGACTAAACTTTCACCACTGTCAGAGTTTGAAGGGAATGGACCAGACATGGGACATATTGTTAATAATGATTTGCTGCCATCTAGTGGACAAATGGCAGAAGCCTGAAAGAAAAGGAATGACAGCCTCCAGCTCATCACCGTGCAACTCAAGTCAAACTTGGTGGTGTTTATACTTGTATAAATCAGCAGTTTGAGAGCATGCTGAAGGAAGAAATAAAAAAAAAATCTTTTTTTGCATGGACACAAAATCAATAAAGGAATGTTTACAGTTTGATTCCGGCGCTGGATGGGAGTAAATCCTCACACAGCCTGGCTTAGCATCCGTTGGAAAGTCTCAAAGCAGAAGAGCGGACACTGATGCAGCTACAGAATAACGTCTTTTGATCACATGGCCAGCTCTGTTTTCACGTGGAACTTCGCTCTGTAAGTTTGTTCCATTTTCATACATGAAACAGAAACCACAAAATGAGGAAGTCTTTCCTGCTCTGCCTTGTGTGTGTGCGCACAGGCGAACTTATGACAGGATATTAAAGAGCGTGTTTGAGTATGTGTCATAGTTCATGAAAAAAATGATTAACCTGATAGTGTAAACAAAGAGCTCAAAGAGCGTTTGCAGAGGACACGATTCACTCAGTCTGACTGCTGAATGCATAGAGGAAGCTCATCTGCAGACCAACTGATCCAACTGTGAGTTACAGCTTTCAGAGCTCGAAAACTTCCACTTTACAGCAGAATGAATAAATAATGAGGCATGCAATGCTTTAACAAGAACAATTGTCAGCAGAAAAGCCTCTAAACTCAGTGTTTAATTGTAAAAGAACTGCAGTGTTATTGATAAGGAACGCAGAGACTTATCAGGCATATTAAATGGAAGCTGCCTTGTGCTTAGACAGTGTGAAACAAAACATTTTAAAGGTGTTTGGGTGTACTAATCTTGCAGGATGTCATGTTACAGAAAAATCCTGGTAAAGGTTTTTTAAAAATTTGTGGTTTAAAAATGAAGAAACCAACTCTGGAAAATCAAAAATTAAATTTCTTTCTATATATTGTCTAGTTTGTTCTTTTGAGGACTCTTGGAGCCTAATGATCTCAGCTTTGATCAAAAGTCTCTGTCTATGTTAGCTTAGGAGGATATTGCAGACAAGCCCTCTGAAAAGATCTTAGTGATTCAGCTGATGGATGTTGATTATAGACAGAGGAAAACAAAGAGAAAAACAGAAGGAAATACGAGTTTGTATTTTAAATTGATTTGACAGACCAACACTTTAAAATATGAACATACAACATTTAATATGGTTGCTTCGTGGATGTGCAAGTAGTCACCAGTCTTTGCAAGGATCTTCTGTCCTGATCTGCTGTTGACTCTCCATTACTGGCCAGTGGTCACACATTAACCCAGCATAACCCCGTTGTGTTCCATAGGAGACATATTGGGGCTAAATTTAGGCCAGGGAAATGTCTGGATATGCCCAGAATCCAGAGGATATGTGGGGGTAGGTACAGACAGGGTGGAGTGCTGCTGCAAGAATGGCACTAGGTTGGAGCACCTCATCTCAGTGCCTCTGTCCAGTCAGATTTCCACTAAGAGCAGTCAGATCAGAGACGGTACTCTAATGGCTGCAGGAACAGCTCAGAATTGAATCCAGCATGCCAGCAGCCCTGCCTTGGCCAGCATCAGTCACTTGTAGCATGTGCATTGAATATAGAGGTGTACAAAGGTAAATAACCAATCAAACCAATGACTAAAACATAACATTCACATTTCAACAGAACAGGTTTGGGGTTCGTATGATATTAAAATGATGCAGAGAAAGAGATTTAAAAGAAAGACTGAAAATGTCCTTTACAACACAAATGATCCCATGTGGATAATGAATCTTTCCAGAGTAACAGTGTTGTGATTATAGGACAACCCAAACTAATTTGTATCTTTACACAATTCTACAGCAATCAGATCTAAAAAAAAAAAAAAAAGGACCCTTGAAACAGTTTATTCCTTTATTACTAGCCACTCTAAAGAGTAGCTAATAATAAGCCCCTATAAAGGTGGACGAATCCTAAAGTTTGCACCTGGACCTTTGACATGAGCTCTAAGAAAAAACAAAACAAACGACCTGTTCTGCTAAGAACACTTAAAGTTTACTTTGGGTGTATTTCAGACCACAGATGATGTTAAACTAAGAGACCTGTGACTAAACTTTAACTTGCCCTTAGAGTTAGTGCTGTTTTCGGGACATTTGGTCAAACAAGGAATCACACAGTGTCTGTCTACATGTGAGCTTAACTACCAGAAACACCAGACTTGGGTTTTTGTTGTTTTTTTTGTTGTTGTTCCTTTACATGTATCTGTAACACCACCACAGAGGATTTTAAATTAAACCCTGAAGGCAGACTTTTAGCTTTAAGGGGAGGAAGGTCAGACAATGTCAGTAAACACCTAAAAAACAGATCTGGAAGTCTACGCACCCAGAGACTGCAACCCTATTCCTAATAAAGATAAAATGTCTTCCCTAACTGATGCTTTTCCTGCAGGTCAGCAGCCCACCGATCCCTCCACAATGGATGAGTTTGACGGCTCGACTCCCAGCGAAACTGTGAAACGAGTGTCTGACTCTCTGGGCTGCAGTCCAACCTCTGCAGAAGTGGCTGCTTACTTCGATAAACATGACAAACTGCGACACTTCAGGGAGGAATTTCTGGTGCCGAAAATTACAGAGCTGCCGCCTTGTGAGTGAAAAATGTTTCATTAAGGTTGATGGAGAAGAATATTTGTTATTAGCAGTTGTTTAATTCTGTTGATGTTTCTTTAGCTGATCTCTCACTGGTCAATGGTGCCAAGGACTGCATCTACTTTTCGGGCAACTCGTTGGGGCTGCAGCCTAAAAATGTCAAGAAGTACCTGGAAGAGGAACTGGACACGTGGGCCAAGATGTATGTTAATGCTTACATTTGATATTTAACCAAAGGATGAGGCACAGTGGCATGTATTGATGTATTCTTTTACAGTGCTATCCATGGACACACAATGGGTGCGAGACCTTGGGCATGGGCTGAAAACAACATTGAGGAACTGATGGCCAAAGTTGTAGGTAAGAAACACTGACGCTTGGCTGGTCCCTCTAAAGTAGGTCAGGATTTTTGGAGAACACGATGTTTTCCAAAGCTGCAAATTTTGGCTCACCTGAACTAGTCTGACAATGGCTGTAACAGTTGACTGATTAAGAAAACCCAAAAGGCAATTGGCGTTTTTGAAGGAGTTTGGGAACTTTCTAGCACTGCACTTCTCACAGTTTTGATACCGTTGAGTAAATTTAGAATCAGAGTACTTTGTTAATCCCTAAGGAAATTATGGAAGACCATAATTTGCAGACAACTTGCCATCATCCATGCAAGCTACCACGGTCATGGGGTACACATATTGCCCTAGCAACTGGTGGTTACCAGGGGTTCACAAACTGGTCTATAGGCCTGTGTGATTGCAGCTTTAGCAAATACTTTCACAGCAACAGCCAGCAAACAGCTGAGGAATAACGTTTTTTCCTAGCAACCAGGGGTTTCAAAGATGGTCACTGACAAGTCTCTAGGCCCGTGTGACTAGGACCTAAGCTGCTTTAGCCTGCCCACCGTTGGAGCTCTTCTGCAAGTAGCTTTACACCCACGACTATTTTTCCCAATTTGCTCTGTTTTGTTCAACAGTCATTTCTGCGTCTTTGAAAGGACTTGAGAGGTCCAAGAGCAGAACTTGCCAAAGGAAAGATGGTTATTTCCAACGATTTTAGTTGGAAATAAGTCTCCTTTTCACTGAAAATACTCATAGTGGTCCTAATAAAAATGTTTTCTAAAGCTTCCATTTTAACTTGAGCTAAGTGTTGGGTGGTTCAATCTAGAGTTTCACATTTGTGTGTTCTTCTGTGATGCTCACACACAGCTGTAGTTTTAAAACAGTCTGTCCCATTTACCTTAGCTGGTAGTCACTGCACTTTTCCATCCAGGCCTGTTTTGAAGAGTGCAAAGTCCATCTGTGATTTCATTCACAAGTTCTGGATGAGGAAGACAATGACAAGAATACATGTGATCATTTGAGTCCTTCAGATAAAGATGACTATCCGGTCGTTAAGTCTGACGTCACTAACCAGTGTCTGGGCCTAAACTTGCTGCAGGTCCATATATCAAACGATCACTATGTCATTACTGAGAGTTTAAAAACTGTCTAAAGTCTTTCATCTTTAATAAAATGATCAGCGTTCTGCTCTACCAGGTGTAACAATTGAGTTTAACATCCAGGCATCCATGAAAACGGAATTTATGACATTTAACGGAGTTAGAAGTTAGCAGGAAGTTAGCTCGCTAGCTTCTATCTAAATACAATATAGCATGTCCTGACTGTGGGGTTTTGGAAACAAATTAAAACGTACAGCTCTGCTTTCACTTCCAACATAAATGAAGACTGAAAACTAAACAGCAGTGACGTTTGTAGGGTTACTGAAGTTTGGCTAGCTGGTATATAATGATGTGCTACGTGACCGCTAGCAACACAGCTATGTTAGCATAATATAAACAAGCTAACTTTTTTTCCACTCGATAAAAGTTAACGTGAGTGTTCTCGGTGGTCAGGAACAAATGTAATCGCATGGCAGGATGCTGTAAAAGGACCAAACTTCAGCCAGGAGAACAACTGAGATAATCCATCCACAATACGAGGTTAGTCATTCATATACTGCTGCATGGGCTGGGCTGTAGTTACATCCTAAGGTTTTAAAAACTGAGCTTAAATAAATGATTAGCGTAATAAAAGCCGAGGGAGGTCAACAGTGATCACTGACTGTTTTAGGAGCTTTTTGAGATTAAATAGAAGAAAATACATAACATTAAACATGTTAACAACACAAAAGCCATATTAAACGCAGACTACTTTAGGCCCGGAAGTAGGATTTGTCACGTCATCACTTAACGACCGGATAGTTTGACCATTTTGTGAACTGAAGGTTTCAACAAAAGCTACTATGCTTTAAATAACCTGGATTTCCTCATTTCTGCTGTTACTGAAATGAAATGAAAGCCTTGGGGAAATTTCTCAAACATTCACATATTAATTAAGAACAAGACTCATATTGTCTTTCTTCTTTTGTTTTTGACAGGAGCTAAAACTGAGGAAGTGGCACTGATGAATGGTCTGACAGTAAATTTACATCTTCTGCTGGTATGATACAATCACTTACTGTTTCACCCCATTTAAATGATGAGATATACAAACATAACACACATAGTTCAACAACTTTCAAACTGAACAGTAATGTCCTTCAATTATTCGGCAGCTTTCCTTCTACAAACCCACTAAAACTCGACACAAAATCCTTCTAGAGGACAAGGCCTTTCCATCTGATCACGTGAGTACATCCACACATGATCACATTTTTCTCTCAAATCCTCCCTTTGGGGATTTTTCTTTCCCTGATCCATGAATTCAGCTTTACTAGTTTTGTCTAACTCAAAAGAAAAATTAAACTTCACTGGATGATTAGTTGGGGTCTGATCTTGTGTTTCGCACCAGTTTTAACACTCGAGAAACATTTCTAGCCCAAAGAACTGACATTAATTGAAGGAGGAAGGTTTTTGAGATCTGTCCAGAGTGTACATTAGAGATACCCTTGACCCTATGTTTGTTAAGTACAATACCAATTCTGAAAAAGCTGTGTAAAATATGAATAAAAACAGAATGCAGGGATTTGCAAATCTCATAAACCCATATTTTATTTATAGTTGAACATATGGACTGGTTCTCATACAGCACTTTTCCACTCAACTTTCTACTCAAAGTGCTTTATGCAATATGCCATACCAGCACATGTTTTCTACAGCTAGGTGTTTTCTATCTAACATTCATAATCTAATGGATGCATCAGAGAGGAACTTGGGGTTCAGTATCTTGCCCATCAATACTTTTGCATGCAGACTGGACCTAAAGGGTCCTAAAAGGGCTTAAACGGAGTGTTTTCCTGCACTCAGTGTTTCTCTTACTTGTCTATGGCTGATACATCGATGTTGTAAAAGATGACAAGTGGCCAGCGTACAGTCATTCACTTGGTGCTGTAGGACCCTGTGACTTTGTCCAAGTTGTCAACCCACCCTTTGGTGGCACTGCAGTCTAGAGTCATTTCTGGTCCTCTCGTGTGCTGATTTCAGCATTTTTGTACAAAGTGCTCATGAGCACAACTTTTTTCCCCTTTTGGTGGCAATAAGGTACCAGGGCTGTAGTGTCTGTGAAGGCAAATATGGAAGACTGAGGGGCCCTGTTCTTGGTTTTCAGCAGCTCAGCAGAGAGTTCTGTTCTTTCGGACTGTTCTAACCATTGTGAGCTTTCTCTTTAGAAGCTCCTGAACCAAGTTGTAGTCACAGGTTATGTTGTGCCCCTGAGACCTTGTGCCATATCAAGCACAACCTTTGTGACATGATTCTTCTCTGGGGCTCTTCCAGCCAGCTTCCCAGTGTTAACCTGCATGTTCAGTGTATAGCTGGTGTTTGCATCACATGCTGCCCATAAAAGGTTCCTGTCCTACCCACTTGTCCTGGGACATGTGGGTAACACATGGGTTGTACATATGTGAAAATGCACAATTTTTATTTTATATGTTGATTACCTTTATGAAGCCTAGCACAAGAAGTTTCATACTGAAAAAATACTTTAAACTATTTATTTTAGATTTTTACAATTTAAAATGGTTCAATTTGACTTGCAATATAACAGGAGGGTTAAATCTTCAGTGTCCTTCTTGAATCTCTTTCCTCAGTACGCTGTGGAGTCGCAGATCCGTCTGCGAGGACTCGATCCTAAGGACAGCATGCTGTTGCTGTCACCCAAGCCGGTAACACACTGCACACTTTTATCTAAACTAATTTCTCCATGGAGGAACAATTGATGGATAGTTTTCCTCCCCAAAGCAAATCCTCAGGTCATCTACTTCACGTCACGTGTTAGCATATCACTACTAAAACTTTCACAGCATCTTAACTTTCAAAGATGAAGAGCAGTTGCCGACCTATTGAGTGCATTTCATGCTGTTATATGAACAAACGTGTCTGTAGCTCTGTGTCAGTTAGAAACTAAACACCGTTTAAATGACAATGCTGAGCACTTTCTGTGTGTTCAGGGAGAAGAGACCCTGAAAACCGAGGACATCCTGGAGGTGATCGAGAAGCAGGGCGACTCTATCGCAGTGGTAATGTTTAGCGGGGTTCAGTATTACACCGGCCAGCTGTTCGACATGGCCTGCATCACTGAGGCTGGCCAGAGGAAGGTGAGGAGAGGATACTGTAACCCAGTGGTTCCCAAAGTGGGGGGCACATTACTGGGGGGCGCAGTATGAATAAAAAAAAAATGCTTGAACACTGCTAGCACAATGGACAAGTTTTTGACGGGGCTCCCACACAAACGCAAAGCAGAAGATGAAGCATCGCCAAATATGTTTCCAAACCAACTCCCTTCCAAGCCAAAGACTTGAAAATATGGTGAAGCATATCTTGCCTTTGGCTTTACCTGCACAAGTGCCAAGGTAGGTCTCCCCGGCAGAGTTTGTTTCCCCTGCATCGGGAACACGCGCTGGGCTGTCCAAATCACGGACAAACAGTATCCCACATTCTTGATTAGTTCACAAACACGTCTTATAATGACTAACTACTCCTGAAATTTTGGAGATGTTAGCTCTTTATACAGTAAAGCTACAGATTTTCTTGTAAAACAAAGGGGGGCCTAGCAAAAAGAGAAACCACTGTAAGCAAAAAATACTCAGATAAAAGTCTTTAATGATGTTTCAATGAGGCCTTCCAGTCACCAGAACTTTCCGATTTTCTTGTATTACTTAAATGAGAGTTGACACTTACATAAAGAAGCATGTATATGATTTCTCCCGGTGCTTTCATTATTTATTTCCAAAAAAGTTCAAAAGAACAGAACAGATGGAGAAAAGTACCAATCGCAGATCTGCATTTCCAGCTAGAGTTGGTGGGTATCACACCCACTGTGCGAAGTTTGATGGGCCAACAATAATACTGATGCACAATTTTTTAACTGAGTGAGTTTTGCCCACTGTGACTCTGACTGACCAACGTTAACAACAACGCTATTCCCTTTTTCCAATTGTGTGTTTACACCCAAATCTTTTACCCATTTTCATCTCAAATTTTCACCGCATCTCGCCATCATTTTATGAAATATTGGTGTTATTTGCAATAAATCCCATATTTTTTGATGCAACTCTTCAGTTGTGAAACTTTCCGGCCTGACCAAATGTTTCCTTGAATTGTGGAAAGAGTCAATGTCCAAAGAAAACTTAGAAGTCTCTAGAAGTCCTGGAAAGCTATTGCTCAAGACCACTTACAAAAATGTGAAGAAAGTCTGTTATCTTGGAAGCAAAAGAAAAATTAATCAGGGCCTTCTCGAGACTTTTGCTTTGTGCTGTATATTAAGTTGTTACTGTGTCCTCTGTTTGTCTGTCAGGGCTGTTATGTCGGCTTCGACTGCGCCCACGCGGCAGGAAACGTCGAGTTGGAACTGCACGACTGGGGTGTCGACTTCGCCTGCTGGTGCTCCTACAAGGTCAGCTGACAGGAGACTTCTAAAGTCCTGCTCACTGTTTCATCCAGACACAGTCCAGAGTGAATGAGACTCTGTGGAGCTGTAGGACAAATGTCCTTTCTGAGGAATATTAATGTTCTTTCTGGCAAAGGTTGAGACAACACAACCAGTTCCGATTTTAGACGCTTATACCAGGGTGTCAAACTCATTTTACATCGTGGCTCACATACAGTTCACTTTGATCTCAAGTGAGCCGGACCAGCAAAACTCCCATTTAATCCCTGAGATATTTTAATGTAAGAAAAAGAACTTCAACAATAGATCTGTTTTTCTATTTGATAAAGAAATGGTGCTGTAGTAAAGGAAAGAAGTGTGGCAGCATGACTCTTTGGGCTTAAAGTTTAAGAAATGAATTACAGAAAATTTCTGGTGTCTCATTGTCCACACTGTCCTGTAATTATGTAATTATTATAAAATCAAAGTTTTGTTGTTAATATACAGAATATTTCTTTGTTTTGCCAGGATGCACAAAGCAGCTCATGAGAGAAATTAAGCACACAAACCTATCAGGGTTAGATTTTTCTGAACTCAAGAGTAAGAAATCATGCAATTCTATAACAGATACTGAAAAAACTGGAACTACCTGTCATTTAACAGTTTATTACTTATTTATTTTGGTTTATGAATGACCATGGGGGATGTCTTTATCAAAAACCAATGGAAGGGGCCTTTAAAGATCAAAAGCCTTAGGTAATTCAGCTGATCTCCCATTCAATAACTTCTGTAGTGCTACTTTCTGATCTCTGTGCAGCAGTGATGTTACATCTACCTTAGCGCCATCGCTGAAAACTATGGATCATTTAAACTGAAAACTGCTTGTTAACTGCCATAATCCTTCACATGTAATCCAGGACAGTTTGAAAGAGAAATTGATGTAAGAGCAGAGCGAACAGCCTAAAAGGACAGAACGGGGCATGTGAAAATGTCCGAGATTATCTTAATTTCAGACAAATTTCACAGACTTTTTTATTCATGTATCATAAAGGCAGCGGTAAATACTTATCTCCTTATCACCATTCACTCCAGCTTACTGAGGACTACCTTGCTCACTAACTGCCCTGTTAATGAACTGCAGGCGATTTCAGTACAATTATCAGATAAAAGTATAAATGAGAAATGCTTTGTGATGACTGTGGCTTTTTTGTTTGCAGTATATAAACTCAGGTGCTGGTGGTCTCGCTGGGGCGTTTATCCATGAGAAACACAAACATACCATCAAACCAACGTAAGAAACATTCCTCACAGACATTTTAGCTGGTGGGGATTTTTGTTGGTAGGGTATCCCAGATATCCTTGGCCTAATTTTGACACTCTTGGTTCAGTCACAGCACTGGCAAGTGACACCTTGAGTCAGTCACGGCCAGATGTGGGACATCTAGGATAGTGAAACTAATATCAAATGATAAAATATATCAAACTCAAGTATCTTTCTCTTAAATTAGTCAAAATACGTTAATAGACATAGGATTAAAGATTGGATTAAATAAAGTAACACAGCTCTCTGTTCCCGTGTCCTTCAGGCTGATGGGATGGTGGGGACATGACCTGAAGTCTCGGTTTCAGATGACTAACGGTAAAACTCATCACAGATTCCTCACTGACCTCTGCCTCCTCAGTACCTCTCTCAAGCCTGCTGTGTGCTTTTAGAGTTGCTATTTGCTTCCATCTTGTGGTCTCATGTGAACATTACACCTGCAGTTCTGCCTATTTGGAGACCTTTATGTTTAGAGTGTAAAGAGCACACCTCTCAGGCTCTGAATGAACTGAATGGATCCTGAAGCTTTGAAAGGGTTCTTGACTTTTTCCTTCTGTTTTTAGTGATGGAGCTGCAGCCTGGAGTGAGCGGCTTCAGGCTGTCGAACCAACCAATCCTGCTGGTCTGTCCACTGCAGGCCAGTCTGGAGGTACTCCTTCTAGACATGTTAATCAACCTGAATGAAACGTATTTCATAAGCTTGCTAGGGTTCAAGGATTATTAGCATCTATTTAGTGTTCGGGAATTGTGAATCGTTACAAATTATATGTAGTTTGTGTAGTAAATGATCTCAAAACGACAACTATATTACGTGTACAATATATGCGCGCCATTGAAATTACACGTATGTTGTGGACATTATATGTAAACCATTGACATTACATGTGTGTTATGTGCAGGTTATTGAAGTTACATGTCCGTTATTAACATTACAAGTGTTATGTGTATGTTTTTGTCATTACGTGTATGTAATGTATGTATGTAGTGCACTGACACTTTGGGGTAACTGGAATTGTTGTCATGCATATCTGTAAGTAAGTGTTTATCAAACAGTGATGCTAACAGTGCCTGTAGTCGATTACAAGTTGAATACACAGCTTGAAAAAACTATATGTGTTCATTATTCATCTCTTTCATTGTTTAATTGTTGTACATGTCTATTTAATGGTTATTTAGTGTTTGCTTATTTCAGCAGTTTATTATTTATTATGGAAACTTGTTTCTGCCACTGAAAACAAGCATTTTTTGCCATACATAAGTTCAAAATTTGGGTTATTATCTCGCCTTAATTGCTCAAACTTATGGAAATAACTGAAAAATTGAGAAAATTCCTTTTTTAAAATTTGAGAGAGTAATCTAAAATCATGTCTTATGGAAGGGAAAAATGCTGTTTTCAGGCTTCCTTAATATATCAGCATAGTCTTGTACACGAAAAAAAAAACATTTGCCTGAAGTAACATCTATTTTTCATTTTCTTTCCTCATACACGATTTAAATCTTGCCAGGTGTTTAACATGACCACCATGCAGGCTCTGCGCAAGAAGTCCCTCCTACTGACAGGCTACCTGGAGTATCTGATTAAGCACTACTACACTAAGGACCCGGCTCAGCCTCACAAACCTCACGTCCACATCATCACACCGTCGGACCCTCAGCAGAGAGGCTGCCAGCTTTCGCTCTCCTTCTCTGTTCCCATCAAAAGAGTCTTCGAGGAGCTGGAGAAGAGGGGCGTCGCTGTGAGTATAAACCCCGATATCTGTTTCTAGTACAAGCCTAATCAGGTAAAAATACAAGAATGTAATTAATTTTAACATCAAATGTAAATTTTGTCTTTTTAAGTTCTGTGTTGTTATCATCAAAAGTTTAGAAAAGGGGTTGGTCACGTATTTGGCATCTTAGCCAGTTCAGTTTTGTATTTGTTTTCTTTTTTGGAGCCAGAAGTGTCCAAAGTTTGTGAATTCAGCTTGTTTTTATAAACCGATACCTGATCATTAGTGCCAAGTACATACAAATAAAACATTAGCATTTAACTCACTAAAACCAGAGCACAGACTGGTGGAGGATCTTAGCAACTAACTTCATAAAAACAACTATAGGGACATGCTCGCTTTTGTAACTTGCCTACAGTGGCCATTGGAGGAGCTCCAGTTTTTGGCACTTTAATTCCTTGTGCTTCAAAAAATGACCACCTGAACAATTTTGAACTCTTTTGTCATTTCCTGTCTCATAGTGTGACATGAGGGAGCCCACCGTGCTGCGAGTTGCTCCGGTGCCAATGTACAACTCCTTCAGTGATGTCCATCGCTTCATCAGAGCGCTGGGAGAGGCTCTGGCCGCCAGCAAGCAAGATTGGGAGAGGAACTGACTGCTACAAACTCCTGTGTTTTTTCATGGTTATTAGGAAGGTTGTAAAGCATCATGCTTTCTTTAAACGCCTCAGGTCTCTCATTTTGTGCCTTTTGGAACCATTTGAGCCTCATTATCTTCACTGTATTTTTAAACTTTTTTTTATCTGTTGCAGAGATATTTGTCATAAATTCTCAGAAGTAAAATATTTTTGGTGACAGTTTAAAATAAAGCTGAGAACAGCCTTCAGATTGAGAGAGAACCCTGACGTTCCCTTGGTCTTTGTTTTGTTCTCTAGGTCTCTCTTTGAAATTGCACATAAAATATGGCTTGTTTTGCATACCTACCTAACACACCAGTACTTAAAGCCTTATTGCAAATTTTTGCAATCTTATTGTTTTTTTGAAAATTATGTTTTATTATTTAATAAAGTATATTAATGTAATATGACACAGGGCTTTTGCATGAACAGTAACTGAATACATGACTAGCTGCAGTAAAATAAAAGATGGATGTACTCACCAAAGCACGACCCACTACTTTGGAAAGTCCCAAATTCGCAATTTTATCCATTGCCGTTGTGGTTTTCAGCCAATAAAGCTGATTCTGACAGGAGATACACTCTAACTGTGACTACTAGTACATCAGTAGTACATCAGTGCTTCACATACTTCTTCAACCTGCAGGTTGGCACAGTTACCATGTTGTCAACCAAAGACTACACCATGAAATCGGTATGTGACCAAATGCTACGAGACAACTAACCTTCAGTTTTAAAGCTGTGGCTTTAAGTAATGGTAAGAAAACTATTTACACAATTCTATGACACCACAGCGATGTGAAATGTATCGCTTGCATTTAAAATAGCGAATTGGATATAAATCCTTTGATTTTAATAGATATTTAATATATTTTCTTATACATATGGTGATGTGAAAAAGTGTGAAAAAGTATTTGAACCATTCTTGATTTATTAGCTTGTTGCTATTTGATCAAATAAAATGTAATATTAGACAAGGATAACTCAAGTACCTGGCCCTGTGTGAAAAAGTACATTTAAAAACATCAGTAATGATTTTTTCTTAGTTATTATTATTATTGCTATTTTTACCTGCTGGTTATACAAGTCTTTTCTCGTAGTATTTATCACATCTAAACAGACTATTAGTGTTAAGGTGTTAACACCGGTGTCACACCAATTATATTTCTGTATATTTCTTCTATATAAATGATCATAAACATCTCATTAAAAAAGTGACAATTCTCAAAAGTTCAATGCTATTCAAATAATGAACTATTTGTATAAGTAGGAGAAAACTAAGAAACAACCCCATGGTTGTTTATTGTACACTTATATATAATTTATTAATAATTAATGATTGATGAGTGATTTCTATGTCAAAAGGCAAATTAAAATTTAGTTTTTTTTAATTTGGAGGACATTTTTCTTATTGTCATGGCTTAGCGCAACAGCACATGGGGAAACACGATGATGCAGTTATATTGAACAAAAGTTAGATCCCACATTATGATTGCAAAAACACTTTCTTTGAACAGCCCGTATCAGAATGCTGCCGTAGCTCTCACTCCCCTCACCCCTGTGACCCTCCTCTTCGGTGGAGCATTTGGGCACGACACCCAGCGAGCTCACAGCATGAGGTTTGCAAATTACAGCATTTTTTTTTTCATTTGGGCTGTGAGGGAGGAACCTAATGAAACCCTTTTTTTCTCCCCCTCTCTCTTCCTCACCCGTCTGTACATTACACACATGAGTTAGCCGACAGTCCTCCCCTTACCAATTAACACCTACTTTATTATAACGTTGACTTCTCCCTAATGTTCTTGCATGTGTTTATGCACTATTACCTTGACGGATGCCTCTTCCACGATTAGACATAATTGGCATATCAATATGCAAAACCTAAATGGATTAACCTTCTTTAAAACTAATGAGCACTTGGATGCCCAGCTGGGGAATGGACCAAAATTAGCATTTGTCATCTTTTTGGGATGATGTGAGAATAAATAATTGAAGAGTGGCTGGTATTGTCTTTCCTGGGGCTACTTAACCTTACAGTGACTGTACTGTAAAATGGAGAAAAAAAAGAGAGAGCGAGAGAAGGAATATGCAGATTTACTGTCTTAATGATGACCGCCGGCTTGCTGGGTTCACACACACATGCAGGGGAAAAAAAAAATACAAAGTAGCTCCGTCTTTGCTGAGGGAAGTGGACAGTTTTGATCAAAGAATTGGCAAAGTAAGGTTTAGTTAGGCAAAACAAACTGTGGCACTTTTGAAAGGTTTTTCATGATCAGTAGAGGAGGATTAGAAATATACCCCAGATCTAAGCACTTATGGGTAGATTAAAACATTTTTAAACATCAAAACATGGGTGTAATAGAAGAAGTATTTCCAACATGTTATTGAGCTTTCCTAAAATAAAAAAAAGTTAAAATTATTGCAGTAGATTGTAATTTGTTGCTAAAATAAATTGCCCCAGAGGAAGGGCAGTGTATAACTAACTTACAGTGACTTACATATGAAAGTTTCAAATGTAAGTATTTAAGTTAAGATCAGGAAGTATTTTCAGGAGAATGAACATAAAATAAAGAGATGCAATGTTGTTCTAAAATACATTTATGAAACTGCTCCAATGGTTACAGAGCTTTTTTGCTATTACAGTGAGATATTTACACCTCTAAATACTCCAATTCAGGTCAGAGTTTTAGTCAAGATACTTCAGTACTCTTTGTTTTTAACATGTTTTCTTAGATGAGCTTCAGAAAAAGACTGAAAGCTGTAGGGGGCAAAAAACTGCTTAGCTTGGGTAGCACCAAGACAAAAATATCTCCCGAGTTAGTTTTAAACTTGTTGTTAAAATTTGGTTTCTAAACTGTAATGTCCAGCACTAAAAAGATAGAAAGACTCGCACTATGAAGTCTCAGTTTCTCAATGAATATGTCACCATGAGCCAGTGAATTCTGTGTACTGCTCAACTCTGTGAAAATTACACGGCTCCAAAAAAAGCTTGGGCATGGTGTGGTCTGGCAGGAGTTCAAGGTTGTGTGATCAACTGACAGTTAAAACATAACTTTTTAAGTCCAATATCCAAAGTAAAAAATGCTCCAAAAGCTGCTTGCGTGTGGCTTAGTAGGTCAGAGAGCAAAAAGATAGTTTCGGCTTTTAGAGACAAAAGTGAACTTTGGAGTTTAACATCCAAAAGAAAGACTGCAAGCTGGCCAGAAATCAGATCAAACCTCTGACCTGATAGGTGAGGGAACATGGTTGTCTGCAAACACACAACTATTACTATTACTTGTGGATGACTTTTAATAAAATTACTTTGCCAAGTACTGAAGCCGTAGATGAACTATTAACATTGTTTGCAAATGCTGTACTTAAAAAAACATTACATTATCCCGTGGCGATGTAGCTGATGACATATTAATACATTGCCCATCAAAGGTGACGGACAGGTTGACAGATGAGGTCCGACAGGAGTCTCCATGGAATATGATGACACTGTGATCTGCAGTGAGTGTAGGGAGCAGGTGGAAGAAAGACTGGGGAGGTGGAGGTATCCTCTGGAGAGAAGAGAAATGAAAGTCGGTAGAATCAAGACAGAATACATGTGGGTGAATGAGAGGCAGACAGGTGGAAAGTTGAAGGTGGATGAGGTTAAATACTAGGGGTCAACCACTCGAAGCAACAGACATTGCAGTGCAAGAGAGGTGAAGAAGAGAGTGCAGGCAGGGTGGAGCGGATGTAGATGAGTGTTAGAGGCAGAAGTAGGTTCAGATGTGAAAGAAATACTTCATTTGCTATCTTCAGCTGAACAACAGAACTTGTAGGGTAGCATTTATTCTAGCAAACCTTTTAAACATTTAAGTTTCTAATAAATTTCACAAGTTAATGAAAGAGCTGCACATTCAGTCAAACCGACTTCAGATTCACATTCATACTTACCCAAATTGTTTTGTTTCTTTGTGCTTCACCCAAACAAATCCAGGTAAAAGGCCAGGCTGGCAAACAGGAAGTGGCAGTTGTATTCAGGGCGCAGGACTATACCAAGTGTGACAAAGTACAGAGGACGGATTGGCTGTTTTAAAGTTTCCAAAGTGGAAGAGATGTCCTACCCGGTACCCAGTATGAGTAAATGGGTAAATGCATATATTTTCTAAATCTTTGCAAACACATTGATTATACAGCACTATACTGTATGTCGATTATATCAACATACAGTGTTGTGAGTTTGAATAGTACTTCCAATACTAAGAGTAGGAACGCATAAAAAAATCTTGTCAAATGATTAAAATTGCAGCACAAACTAATATTGGTTATCACATACAAAGATATTTTATGGATTCCAGTCAAAGCAGATGTAAAAGAGTCCGATATCCCCAAATGTTAATCTCTTTTAAGTTAAACTGGAAACTAACTCAAAGAAAGAACCAATGTTGTGTCTACACGTAATTAGATCTTTAGGTGTTGTAGCCAGTCACAAAAACGCATCATTTGTTCCCATTTCTTCAGACATAAAATAGTATTTTTGCACCAACAAGGTGATTCTCAAAGCGCTATTAGCTGAAAACTTGGCATATCTCAGCATGACGTGCTGTGCTTTCTTAAAAAAATGTATCTACAGCAGATAAGCCAAGTCCTTAAGACACAGGAAAAAATCCAGCATCTTACATGGGCCATTGTTGAAGCAGCAGAGAACAGGACAAAAAGCAGAAACACCCACAAAAGAGCTTTGAATGTCTTTGAAGAAGTCTGGAAAACAGGTTGCCACTATTGCTCCCCGATTGAGAAGGTGACCCATATGCCAAAAACTACTACAATGACCCAGTTTGAAGTTCACCCATGTCCTGTGTGTCATTCCCCCCTCACTAATATCCTGCTTTCCTGTCAACTCTCTCTGGATTGGCCTACTTGTTAAACACAACAAAAGCTTGGAGAACTAAATAAATGACAAGAAAATCTCAAAATATAAAGAAATGTGGGGTGGCTCAAGAGTTTTGCACAGTACTACATGCCATGAATGAAACGAAGAAGAAACAACACTTTATAATGTCTCCTGACGGGTTGGTTAAGCAGAAAATAAACTTAAACCGTGATGTTCGGCTGTTTTATCCCATAAATGTCAGATTTTTAGGAACAGGAAGCTTCAGAATCCAATTTGATTAAGAGCACTCAACAAAAGAGCTTCCTAAAAGTTCACTCAAACACAATCGACCTTTATTTCAGGTTGACTGTACTTCTGCCTCTCCCAGACAACATCACTGGTCATATTTTAATAACCCAAACCTTTGATTGGATTCTGGCATCCTTCTGCTTTCCGTGCCTTCAGTCTTCACATGAACGCACACGCAAAGCTGAACTCCCCAGGCTGAACGCTGGTTGATGGTGGCAGCAGTTAACAGGTAATAGGGATTGAGAGCTGCATGAATCAGAACTAATTACCTTAAATAGCCACAGCCTCGGGCTTATTTTTCCAGTCCACGTCTCTCCAATTTGACAGCTGGCAAAGGTAGCTGCTGCTGCTCCAGAGGCGGCGAGGTGCTGTGTGGGACTTTTTCATCCCATTAATTAATTGTAGAGCAACTAAACCGTGAAAAGCTACAGACGGGAACTTTACTGACCGCTCTCTTGGCAGGTCTGCTGTGACAGCCGCCGAGGGGAAGCACCCACTAATAGAGTCAGGTAAAGAATGAAAATGGTGAAATAAAATTTTTTTTAAAAAATGGGACTAGATTAGTTTTGGGTGGTTTAACTTCATTTGAGGCAGAGCTGAACTCGGAGCTATCAAAGAATTCCATCAAATGGAGTTTAAAGTGGATAAAAGCAGCTTGTTGTTCAAGGGTTTTGTTTGAAGAGCAGGCTTCATGAATAAGAGACGAAATCACAATAGAGACAAAAAAAAAAAGGCAAAATATTAGCCGAAAAGAAAAAAGGAAAAAAGAAAGGAAGCAAGGGAAGGGGCGCTCTGTGCTCAGATGATTTCGAATCAGATACTACAACCTTGTTAGCATCGCAAGCTTATTTCCATATTAACGACCCCTTCAGAACCTTCAAAGTAATGAATAATTGACAACAAATGAAATGTTTTGATTGTCGTCAGCGCCCGGCGTGTTTAATGTTTCATATGTTGCTTTCCAGCTAATTATGGAGATGGCACATTTGTCAGAAATACGTCCCCCTCGCAACCCTGGCACAACCCTCCCGCCGTCCTCTGCAGATGCCCTGTGTTTTCAGGCAGGAGGGAGGGGTGCAGACAGACACACGCACCCTGTTGTAATTAGCTAGCAGGGAGTGCTCGGCGACCTGTGAGGGGAGTCGAATGGCGTCCGCTGCTCACGGGTATTGTTTTGGCTGCAGACACAACAGAAGCTCTGCTGATGGGGTGTGTGTGTGCAACAAAATGGAAAGGTAGAGAGTGGGAATGCAAGTACAAAGGTACATGAAAGGCTTTTCGCACCACTTTTCCTTGATGGGGTTGTGCAACCTTGTCAGACTTCAGCAATGTTTTGATTGTAACGTCTGTGCAGACCTTTCTAGATTAGACTCACTGCATTTGTTTTAATCACAAAAGATCGCTTGTTGAAAAGAACTAAAACAAAATATAGCCTTATATTGTGTTAACCCCCACATGGGACCTCTGGGGGTCGCCAGCAGTGGGTAGCACCAGGAGGGTGGAGTTTTTGGTTGAGGCCTTGGAGGATTCTTATGCTCTGTTGGGGAGTTTGGTATAGCTGTCAAAGTAAGACCTTCACAAGGTTTCCCAGCAGAACATTGGAGTTTAAGAAGAAGCTGTCTGCCTCACCTGTCGGTGGATTTTATGTTTGTCAACCAGGTGACCCGAGGCTGCGCTCTGTTTACTGCAGATTTTTTACTACCATGTATTGAGCATGTGAGAGTTGGAGGGTCCCATGTTGCAGACTGACTGAAGAAGAAAGTAAGAACAGCCAGGAGGAAAAAACAATAAAGAAAGAGAGAGAAACAAAGAAGGAAAGGGATAGATGGAAGAGAAAAGGGGTGAAAAGAACAAGAAAGGAAGAAAGTTCAAGAACATAAAGAGTAAAAAAAGTAAGAATGTAAGAAAGACGAAGAAAGACAGAAAAGGAAAGAAAAATCAAAACACGAGGAGAGAAAAAAATCAGCAAAGAAAAAGTACAGAAATGAGAAAAGCAGGGACAAGCAGTAAGTGAAAAAGATGAAGTTAGAAGGAAAAGAGGTTAAAAGAACAAAGAATAATGGAGAAAAAAAGAAATAAAAAGAGAAAATGTGAGAAAAATTAGAAAAAAGACAAGTAGAGAAAAAGATAAAAAGAATAAAAGAGATAAAAATAGATATGGGGAAAGAGATAGAAAGGAAGAAAGAACACAGGAAAAGTAGAAAAAGAAAGCGTGAGTGCAACAAAGACAAAATGTCATGGTCCTGGGCCATGTGGGCCCAGTATTCTTAGTTTCTTGTATTTTTGTATTTCGTTCCTTATTTAGGCCATGTTTCCTAAGTTGTCCTGTTGTGGTGTTCCTTATTTGACTTCCCCTTGTGACTTTTATCCCCTGTGTGCCCCTCTATGTATCTGTGAGCCCTCATCTCCCCTCCTTGTTTCATTCCATGTTTCCCCAGCCCACTATGCCCGTGCTCTCTCTCTCCTCCTGTTTGCACCTCTGTGTACTTCCTGTTTTACTTTGACAGTCTCCCGTCAGTGTTGTTTACTCCTGCCATGTCTTGTTATGTTTATCTGTGTCAGCTGTGTTCCCATGTGTGGCCACTTCCCCTGATCATCCCTCTTGTGTATTTAGTCTCTGTGTTTCATGTAGTCTGTGTCGCGTCGTCTGTGTTACCACCCCCTGTGTTCCGTATCTCCAGCCATAGCTTTTTCTTAGTTTATGTCCAGTTTAGGTTTTCTGTTTGAACTATTACCCTTATACTGCCCTCGCTCTGGTTTGTTCTGTTATCAGCCATAATAAAAGGCTCGCTTTTGTTTAATCCACTCCTGCATCTTCGCTTGTGTTCGCGTCTGGGTCCAACACACACATTCCCACACGGTCTATCTCCACGGACCGTGACACAAAATGAAAGCGATAAAGACACAAAGTAAAACAAAAACTAAACAGAAAAGAAAGTGTAGGAATGTAAAAGAGAAAGTGAAAGAGAAATACAAAGGAGAGAAAGATAGTCAAGAAAAAGAAACAAAGACAAGGTGACAGGATAAATGAAAAGACAACAGAAAGAAAGAATAAATCTATGGTTGTTTTGTCACATCAGGTGGTAAAAATAAACAAAATAATACCATATAGTACCACCTCTGTAGAAAACATGTAGGGACCAATCAGAACAAGTAGTGAGGGGAAGTCCCCTGTTACCAGTTCATCTGATATCATCAGCCTGGTATAAAAAATAAGCTTAGTGTCTCTAATCTGAGCCTGAAATTATATTAAATCTCAGCTGTTCTGTTTTTTTCTCCTTTTTTGCCCCCCTTCATCCCTGAAAACATCTTTTCAGACACGGTTAGTCTGAGATCAACTTGTTGTGCAGACACCTTGTCTCTCCGATGCACCTTTACAAGACGACAGACAAACCGGAGCTGACAGAGGTCGTCTGTGTCACGCTGACAGACAGCTGGAGAGAGCGTGAGCGCTATATTTAAACTGCGAGTGTTTGTTTGTGTACATCTGCGTGAGCTCGCGCGTTTATCCGAGCATGAGTGTGTGCGCGATGGTTCAGTCAGGTCAGTGTATCCTGAAGACACTGTCAGGCAGGATTGATTTCCTCTCTCTCGATCCGTGGACACGTTCCTGTAACACAGCTGACCCCCCGAGTTGCGTTACCTTGTCATTTTGCGACACGGATCAAAGCGGAGACGAGCTGGAAATAGCCACACGACGACCTTGAACTCTTGGAGGAAGCGGTGGAAGGAGGAGGAGATGTGAGTGCCAGGGCAGAGGTTCAGTTCAGATTTCAAGCAACAGTTTCCAACTAAAAGTGAGCACACGTCAAGGGCTGTACTACAACTTTGATTTATTTATGATGTTTTTATTACACTGCGATGACGCCTCCGTGCGCTTTCATATGATCTATTACTGTGTTTTTTTAAAAAGTTTTTTCGAGGCCAGCTTTGACCTTGGGCGCTAAAAGTGAAGGTCAGATTCAAATACTTAGCTAACCTAGGTAGTCATATCCTCCAAGGCCTATAAAGGTTGAAAATGATCCATAAAACATCGTGGGTAATATAAAACTTAATGATTTTCACATTTGGTGCAACCTTAACCCAATTTTCACCTAAATTAAATCAGCTCGGACTGTTATTGGTATCTACCATCACACGAAATTTGAACATGATATCTTGAAAACTGTGGATGCTACACCGCTAACAAACAAAAAATGGACCCAATTACAAACTCCCTCCCTTCAGGGTAGAACAGTGAGCTCAATATACATCACCATTTTTTAAAGCTCATAACCAGTGATATTTGGAGTCACTGGTATTCACACATGTGACTTTGTGTTTCATCAGAGCCTGACTGACCAAACAAGTCTGAGTTATCGGTAAAACTTAATCTTTCTGAACGCGTTCTGCCTCAAATTTACAATTGATAATCAAAGATATATATGTGTGTGTGTATATATATGTATATGTATGTGTGTGTGTGTGTGTGTATATATATATATATATGTACATACACATATATATGTATATATATATAAATATATATATATATATATATATATAAAAAAGATATACCTTGTAAAGCACTTTGTGATCTTTTATCTAGCAATATAAATAAAATTTTACTTACTTATGTACAGCATAAAAAAACACTCCTATTATTCACGTTAATATAAATAAATGTTAAGACTTTTAAGTACAGTTAAGGCTTTTATTACATGCAGACTGGATTTCTGAAATTAATCATATACTGGACTGAGCAAAACACTCACATCTCGATTGCAGCTGGTTCAAAATGGTGCTGCTGACAGCCACACGGAAGTGTGATTGAATTTCATCCATTCTTGAATCGTTTCACTGGCTTCCTGTGAAGTACAGGATCAGTTTCAGTATGATGCACAGACTTCTTCACATTAATCTATCAGATCTTTTACAATCCTAAGGCCCATGCCGCTCACTTTGGCCCACTTATCAGCAACTTCTAGTCCCAGATTCCAAATTCCAGATTTACTTTTACAGGTGACTGGGAATCCCCAGGCGTACCTCCGAAACTCTGGAACTATCTTCCTCCTCACATTAGGTCCTCTTGTTCACGTCACAGTATTCAAATCTGAACTGGAAACATCTTTTTATTAACTTTTTCATTTTCAGATTATTTTCAGTTTGTTGTATCAATTTCCCCAGTTCATCTCTTTTTACTACTGTTATTTTACTTTTTATCATTATTTTCATGGTAAAA